ACATAGCAGTTTCAGAGAAACTGCTATGTTTACATTTGGGGTTAATCCAGCCTCTAGTGGCTGTCTTCCGTAAAGCCACTAGAGGCGCATCTGCGACGCTGGAGGCATATTATGCCTGCATCGCGCAGAGCGTCCATAGGAAAGCATTGAGAAATGCTTTCCTTTGGACTCTTCCAATGCGCGCGCAGCACTTCCTGCGCATGTACATTCGGCTCCGCTGACGTTGGACGGGGTTTTCCCTTTGTTTTCCTGACACTATAGTGATCCTTTAATTTAGTAACTAGGTGGTTGACTTACAATATCTTTCAGTTTACGGATGTGCTGATAAGGCCAGGGAAGGACTGGACAGGAATGCAAAAATCAGGACTGTCCAGCAACCTCTGGGACTGTTGGGCTGTATGATTAGCATCTCCACGCTGCTGAATATGAAAAAGTGAATGGACGGTGCATTGGTGTCTGTATTGTGAGAAACACCTTGAAACACTTGCATGTTCAAGCAAATTTTTAATTAATGATGTACTGGTGCCTTCGTTGCAAACTTCACAGAAGAGTCTTGAAACAATGTTGCTATGGAATCCGCGTTCAATGCTGCTTTTATGTTCTGTGAACCATATTTTCAGTGGTCTTTTGTCCTCCCTGTGTAATGCAGCCCACACAATTTTTTTTAGCAAATACACAACAAAAGGATCTGTCTCAGATGACAACAGATTTGATCTCATTGTGACACAGGGAGCAGCTATCACAGTCACTTTTTCTATTCTTACTATTGTCCAATTACGTAACATCGAAACACCTTTGCCCGCCGCCCGCTCACCCATCTCAGAATATTATGATATGGCTTACAGAGTACCGCGCATGCTGACCCCGAACGCTCAAAGGGGGCAGCTAGAACATTCATGGAAAATATCATATTTCAACAGGGGGCATTTGTAGCCTATATTGGCTGTATTAGCTGTAATAACAGTGCACTTTACACTTATCATTATCAGAAGTGAAAACTTACAGTAAGGAAAGGGCCATGGAGTCTGCATTCATGGAAGGAAAATAGTTAATGTACTTAATTGCAGACCTGCTATAAGGAATGTGTCAGTTACAATGTTTTGTCCTGTACTGGCAGGGAAGAGAGTATAGGTCAGGCGGAGAGTATTAACCGATTAAATCTCAGTGGTTCTAAACTCTGGCAAGAAAGGGGTTAAATGCAGTTATTATCTATTGCTGGAGACCTTGAAATGCCTGGGATTTCTTGAGTTACAACAATTGGATAATGACTGATTTGTCATCTACAACAATGCAGTTTGCCTTAATTTACCTTTAGATATTATTACGGAAAAAATCATAATATACGTTTTTACCAGGACACAAAGATCAGGACTTGATCTGAATCTGATTCACGCATTGACATTTCATCGACACAATGGACAAAAATACTTGCAGTACCTTAAGGGCATCATACAATCTTCATAATTCGTGGAACAACGTAGGAAAACACTGTTTACATGGAAATGGTACCTCTGAGAGTACATAAAATATATCCCATGGCTTCTTCCACGAGTTGGAGAGGTGGTCAAGAGGAAGGCTCCATGATTCATATCTGGTTGAACTGTTCTCTGATTGAACCCTGCCGGGAGGCCATCCATCACAAGGTTACATTATCTTTTATAACTTTAACATATATCCTATTGGAGTTTCCATCGCAACACCCCAAAACATCTCTAAAATTGATTCTACACCCAATATTAACAGAGCAACAACATTTAGAGAGAGCGTGGAAATCCCTAAACCAGCCCAATGTGGCTATGGTGCTTAAATCAGTCGATATTAACAACATATGTGAGGCCAAGTACACTACCATATACACACCAATGAAGACACATGGAGATACTGGTGGAGGTTTACAAGAGATGCTGATGGGTGAGGCGGAGGGATAGGAGAGAAAATTGTGATTTACGGTGGTGTGGTACACAGGATCCTGATTACCCTTGACACATATAATATAAAAATTCTCTGTGATGCAATCTTGACAGAGCACATTGTGAACTTGACATTTTTATAATGTACCAGTGTGTGACCAGACCCTTCTTACCCTCCCATCCCCACCCCCACGTGATTTCTGTGTTCATCTCCCCTTTCAACATCAATAACACTCAAGTGTCAAAACAAAATATGAGCCCTATTGCAAAAACAAACTGACGCACTGTGCCACGTAGACAAAACTTCACGTGTGAGCTTGCATATCTGCCCTTTTATCACAGCATTGATAGTTTCAAACACATAGAAACAGTATCGAGAAGTTTCAAATATCTATCTTTGTTTACGTCAACCAAACCTTTCACTCATTAAAATTTTATTTTTATTTTTTTCTTGAGTCATGTGACTATTGTTTAGAATTAATCAGCCCCAGAAAAAATTAAAGGGGCAATGTTACACGTAAAATTTTTCTCTCAGGACAAACTTACAATGAATGTTAGCAGAATGTACTATCAATGGTTTAATAATTTGATATAATTCTTTTAAGGTCTATTAATGATGTTGCCAACTAGTTAACTAGGGTAATTCCACGTGTTCTAAAGTAGTCATGGTGTTTGGAGTCTGTATGGACAGAGGTTTTTTAGATTACTGTCGGAGGTGTAACTCCAGCTCTGGGAGTGAAAATTCTTGTCTGGCTGAGGTCAGTTTTGTGTACAGTATATTCTTTGCACAGAAGTTAATTCATCGGCTGACAAAGCTCAACTGCGCTCTGAGCCAATGAATGGCTGGTGGGATTGGCATTTAGCTTCTGCAGCTCTGCAGAAGATGGACGGCATCGCCAAGCTTTAGAGGAGGCTTAGTGCCTGGCAGGACTTAGGTAAGAGGGCAAACGATTACAAAACGGAAATTTCTATTACTGGGGATGGTGCCAGGGTACTTCAAGCATCATGACTACAATGGGCTGCAGTAGTTCTGAAGCTCGGGGTAACCCTTTAATTATCAAAGTGTCACATACAGCCAGCATATAAGGAAAAGGTAAAAGTCACATCATGATCCATTCAATGACATTAGACAACATTAATTCAATTTAGTTTAATAGATGCTTTTACTTGGTAAAATTGTCCTCTTAAACTTTATTGCCTAAATTGTTGGGAGATTGTTTATAGATCAATAGAGATAAGCGTTCATTAAACCTGCTGAATCTAATTTTCTTTACAAATTGGATGAGTTTAGAAAATGTCTCTTTCGCCAAACTGAGAAAACTCATAGTATAATGTTTTCTTCTAGAAACTATAGTAATCGGAATCCTTTCTTTCCTTACGTTACAGAAAAGTCACCTCCCGTATAAAACCACAAACCGTTTACCGACGCAAAAAGTCAAGAAACTGAAACTCAAACTGTAGTTGGTAGAAGAGATTAAGCAGACACAGGTCACAAACATAAAGCGGCTTTGGCACTTCCAAATCAGTTGGATTGTCATAGAAATCCCAACGCACTCTAAAGATACCATAGGACAAAGAAGGGACTATGGTAATGGTTATGGTAAAACCCAAGGTTGACAAAAGACAGAGATCCCATGTCAACTTTTGTCCAAACATAGCAGCTGTCACAAGTGAAGATTCAGGCATCGTCTCGCTCATCTCAAGACGTTTTCCCACGAGATTCTCCATGTCCTCCGTGTACTCGTTTGCGTGATAGTTTAGCACTGAAATATCTCCTGAAAAATTATGCACCAGGAGCCATAGAAGACCCCCAGGAAGAAGATGGAGGTGGCCACTAAGGACAAATTCAAGTAAGTAACCGCAGATGTCACTTGACAAGTAGAAAGAAACTAAATAATGACTTTTTACTTAATTTCTAAAGAATGAAAATATTCAGCACAAATAATGCATAGAAAGAGTGTTATTACTCTTTAACTCCAACAGAGAGTCCTCATGGACAGATGGCCAGTAACTAATAACGTTAGATAGTTCTACGTAACCTTCCAGGTCATCTAAAAAGGGAACACATTAGCAACACGTGATTAATTTTTTATACTGAATAGAAATGTTTATTAATATTCAGTTCCTGGTTTGTTTGTTTTTCTATAGAATAAGAATCTCATTGATTTGTTTAAATTGCCATAGGCCACCTAATGAGATTTGTTCATTGTCAAGGGAACACACGCTGAAACACTAAGAGTTTTCATAGGGTCCAGTATTACAATGAAACTAGTCAGAAGTTAGATTCAATTTGCTTTAATCGAGGCACCGTAAATCAAGCATGGATTTCAGCCCATGATATTACTTTATCAGAACAGGAAGGTTAAAGAACTATAAACACAACACGTTAATAAAAAACAAACCAAGCGAACAATACAATATATATCAATCAGTATAACGTCTACACTGAATATCTATTGTAGGGGGATGTGATGATTACAGGGACATACAGGAACACTTTATACAAAACTGCATTCCTAACGCTGTAGTGTCTCTATGCATTAAAATGATTGGATCAGTGCTACCCTATGGGGGATTTCAACACGCTGGACTTGCATGATGACGTCCAGTGTCATTTCACGGAATCAAACCCAGTGAGACTCCAGGAAGCTCTCTAGAGGCGGTCTTAACCATTTAATGGAAATATTGCAGTTTCCCTGAAAGTGCAGGCACATTGCACTCAGACCTTTCAATTAGATGAAGCGGTCTGGGTGCCTGTAGTGTCCCTTTAATATAGACAAAAAGAAAAACAAAAAAACAAGAAATATGATAACATAAAAACAATCTATTTTAAGTAAATACAAATGAATATAGTTAACGTAAACTCAGGAATGTACGACTCTCACAATCTTCTCCATCCACAGATTCTGTCCATTCACCCTATCATTGATCTCCAAGAGACTCAGATAAATAGTCAATGTGACGATGGGATCCTGAATCTGGGCACTCACAGCAGACCCCAGGTATCTACCAATTCATTCTAAGACCATGAGAACCTGCCCATTGCACCAGAAGCGCTTCTTAATAAGTCCATTCACCCTGAGAATCAGTTTATTCACCCCGAAAATCCATCCATTCATTCTGAGAATCTGCCCATTCACCCTGAGAATCTGCCCATTTACCTTGAGAATCTGTCCATTCAACCTGCGAATCTGTCCATTCATCCTGAGAATCTGTCCATTCACCTATAGAATCTGTCCATTCACCCTGAGAATCTGCCCACTCACCCTGAGAATCTGTCCATTCACTCTGAGAATCTGCCCATTTACCTTGGGAATCTGTCCATTCACCCTGAGAATCTGCCCATTTACCTTGAGAATCTGTCCATTCACTCTGAGAATCTTCCCACTTACCCTGAGAATCTGTCCATTCAACCTGCGAATCTGTCCATTCACCTATAGAATCTGCCCACTCACCCTGAGAATCTGTCCATTCATCCTGAGAATCTGCCCATTCACTCTGAGAATCCATCCATTGATTACAAAACCCTGAGAATCTGCCCATTCAGAGCCCATGAAAATATGTCCATTCAGGAAAATACAGTCCCTGTCCTGCTGCATTCTGATTGGCCACTCATCCTGTTACATATAAATAAAGAGTTGTCCGATTTCCGTGGATACATTGTGGTTGCCTTTTTTTTGCGACATATGGGTATCTTTATAAAGTCAGTAGTTAATGGCACTGATCTGCCAGAGTTTTAGGGTCTAGATAGATTCTACTGGAGATCACGTTGACCCCCCTGGCTATTTGTGAATGACATGTCACATAATGCCCAGCCAGCCTTGTGCTATATTACAGAACCCAATATATCCAGCGTTTCAAATACTTACGGCTGAGTAAATACGATTTCTCTGTGAAATCCTCAAGTAGCCTTAATGGTGTGATAGCAGCTCCCTTAAAGACTTAGGGATGAAACTACTCAAACCTTAAAATGTAATTATGCAAAATCCAGTGTCAAAAAACCCCACGAAAAACAAATTATAATATCCTTAAATCAAATACTATATATCACAAAATTATACTGAAAACACACATTGCGCTCATACAATCCCACGTTACAAAGATACATAACTAAACGTTCCGATGACTGATTTAAGGGAAAGAAACATAATAAATAAATGATATTAAAAATATACACGAAGCTTTGTGTCTTTATACTCTATCTGCAATCCCAAGGCTGTGCAATAACATGTAAAGCATCAAAAAGTGAATTACAAACAATAAATAAAACACAATATACATTCATATTTAATAAGGGCGAGTGTAAAAGTATTATTTTCTTAGTTTCTCAAACCAATCTACCCCATGGGATATGGGTAAGGCTATCAGGGGGCACTAGCGATTTAAGAGATTAATAAGCAGTACATTGGAGGACTTATTGAGGATCGATGGATGATTCTAGGGGTACCTGGATGGAAAACAGTTATCTGTGGAACTTGGTTGAAAAAGACAGAGAATCAAGGTTTCTTTTACAGTAAGCAATGGCTTAAAGCATGCATCTAGTGTCTTACAGCATCTCTCCCAGCTAGACCTAACCATCTAGAGGTGAAATATTAAACAGCTCAACTTCCAGGATGTGCGAGAGAGACAGAGAGAAAGAGAGAGCACAACCGCAGGCGACAGCCAGAAAGAGAGGGCTAATGAGAGATACATACCCACAGATGTCCTCGGACAGCAGAGGATGTGAGCAGGACCTCAGGCTCAGCAAGCTGGAAAAAAAAACAAGAAGAGGAATCTGTTGGCTTCAGTGCAGAAAAAAAGGGAATCTTAAATAATGGCAAAAGGAATGTGATAGAGAGAAGAGGAAATTTCGATACATAAAGGGGAGTCATCCTCAAGGGAAAGGGAAAAAAATACACATCAGGTCGTATCACAGCTCCTAATACACGAGGTTTTTATTCTCAGCAATTATGTTCACATTCTGTTAGAAAAATAGATTTTACATGCCTAGAGTTAAATGCTGGTAATTATGGCTGTTTTCAGATTTTTTACACCAGGGAGAACATCAGGGGTGGGGGGTGGGAGTTAGGGGGTCTACGTTCTCCCCACCTCGATCGTTATTATGCTGTAAATAGACAGGGTATATCCCAGTGGCTTGAATGTGATTAGCATTCGCTTTTCCCCACTATCTGTGGTTGGTTTCTACTTCAGCTTCGAGTTCTCCAAACATATGTTGATGTTAATGGAACTGCTGTCGCTTCAGCTGTTTCGAAAAAATACTTTTTTAAAAATATTTTTGTATTTTCTTTATTTTATTTTTTTTAATCCGCGGAACCCTCTCTTTTCCCTATGTCACTGCGAAACCTTCCAGCTTTAAATCATCGGACAAGACAATCTGTTGCGTGAACACTCTGGGGCAGGAATGGAGAGATAACAGACTGCTGCTGTTTAACCTTTTTAGACAGATTCAAATGAATACGTCCATTTCGCAGTCCTTTTGCGGCTCTGGGGACGCTTACAGAGAGGCTCTGCAGGGATTCTGCTAAATGCGAAATTCTGAAACTACACTTTTTTTTTTTTTGTTCTGTAGGATTTTTTTATTTTATACTAACCGGAGATTTTATCTATCTGTCACCCCACATGATTCACTAAAACAAGAGCAATCTGGATTACTTAACAGCAATTTGTAGTAAATTGTCCTTGTGGCAAACCTACTGAGATAAGGCTGGTTTCATTTTTAATCAGTTTTTGGACTGGATCTTTAAACCAAAAGGGTATGCCTCACTTACTTTCAAGGGATGAATTATTTTATTATTATTATTATTATTTAATTTATTACATTTGTATTGTTCTTACATTTTAACTTATGGCTATAACTAGTCAGTGAGAGCTCAGTTAGTTAACACACCAACTTCGCTATTTTTTTTTTTTAAATCTAGGCTTAATTTCTCAATGTGGTCTGCTCAGCATTTTATAGGTTTCTGAGGTCAATACAATGAGTACCTCTGACTTGGATAATAAAAATAAATTATATTTAGGGAAGAAAACCAAAAAAACACGTTCATCCCATTAAATCCTCCCCAAACTCTACCATTATTTTTAGCAGAAACTAACTTTACAAACCATACATAAATTCCCATGGCTCCTGTCCTACAACAAGTTTCAGGAAATAAATCATTTATGTTCTCTCTGCTGCCTTAAAGCTGAATTACGTTCTCGCCAAAGCAGGAAAAAAAAATCCTAATAAAAGTCTTCTCACCTCCCATCTGTCTCATTATTTCTCCTGTCCTGATTTATAAAAGGCGCAGCGAAAGAAATGGAGAATTACTGCAGCTTGCACAACCTATGGCACTACGAAGGCAAGGAGCGCTATATATCTTTAACTGCGTTACACCGTCATTAGTGGGAATATAAAGAGGCAGTTCCAGGTTTTACCGATTTGGAATATCTTTTTTTTTAATGATTTTTGTATTTTTTTTTTTTTGTGCTTGCACGCACAGAAATCTGGCAGCCATGCCACTACTTTAAAAAAGCCGTACATGCAATTATTTTATTACTGGGAAGAGCTACGCTAATTACAGTTTTCTTTGCTGCCCAGAAGCACAGATCTGGCCGGCAGAAATAGTGCCAAAACATTTAGCGTGCCACTTTTTGCACAAATCACAATTTATTTGTGGATTCTTTAGCCTTCACAGTGAGGGTTTATGTAGGCGCAAGTATTTTTTTTTACAGATGTAACTTCCTCCACATCTATAGATTCTTCAACCATGACTACTTTAAGCAAACATTCTGTGATGTATTTGATTGTATGTATTGCTAGTAAGTTGACACCTAGAAGCCACAGCAGCCTGTCTCCTAAAAGTTTCTCAAAACGATGGAGGAAATATAAAAATAATACTAAACACACAAAACTCACTAGTCATGAGATGTTTTTTTAAACCATATTGTTTTACCATGACATTTGTCAAAGATCAAGGACTTAAGCTGCACTCTCAATGGCGGTAGCATTATGTGGTACCCCTGTCCCCCATGTAGGGTACAAATTACTGGAAGAAGCAACATTTAGTCATTAACTAATTTTACTGTACTGTATCAACATGAGGATTTCCATTCCGACCCATCAGTGTCAAGTTCTTCATGGCACAAAGTGAGTGTTGGGATCATAGGCGTGCGCACGGGATGTGCCAGGTATGCCTGAGCACACCCTAATCCCCGCGGCACGCCTGTGAGTCCTGCAGGAACGCGTGGGAATGCCGTTCCCGCTGTTCCTGCAGGAACTCTGCTGCCCCCCAAATGCCCTCCCCCTCCCCCCGTCTTCCCCCTGTCATGGGGGGAGCAAAAGGTGATGGACATCCAACAAGCGGCGAGGGAGCTGTGTGCTCTCTGCTCCCTCTCGCCGGGCGCGGTTTGCTGATGGCGGGAGCCGGAATATAAAGAAAAAAAAAAGTTCTCTGAACAGCCCCGCCGCTGACAACATCTTAGCCACGCCCATAAAATGAAAGTGTCCCTCTTTGTCTATTTGTTGGGAGGTATGTTACCCAACAGTTTTTGGGCCATACTGATGAGTGATGTGCTTTGAGAACACTATAGAACACTATAGAACACTATAGACCTTATGAGAGGTTAGACATTAGCTTCTGGTTTGGATTCGATACCCCGAGATCAACAACCCACCTTCCAGATTTCCCTTCATATCCTAACCACAGTATATGCATCCACACAACTGCAGGAGGCGATTCAGCTTCAAATCAGCTTTGACACAAGTGGAAAGTGGCTCATGTTTGAAGCCCCATGGACAAGTCCCCATCAACTCTCATCCCCAGATGTACATTGTGGGCACCAGAGTTCTCATGTGTTGTGGTGTGGTAGTGTGATGGGTACCAAGATGACAGGAGATGCTATGGTGAGGCCACAAGACTCTGGTTCATAGTGGAGGTAAGGAATAAGAATCAAGAAAAAAGCATCTTGGATTAATAGTCAAGCTATGGTTAGTATGGGAGTTGAGCATTTCTTCTAACCTTCGATTACCAACTGCTTCCCATTTTACCTACTCTGACCCCACGGAGATTACTCCCTGCACACCTTCATTCTTTGTAGGATTGTGAGTACATAATTAAAACGAATTAGTTGATAAGAGTCCTCTAAGCACCCTACACAGCCTGTGCTGGACTCTGAGGACTATGGCCTATGGTAGAATTATGTCAGCGATTTCAGATCATGTGCAGGAAAGTGGACTTGCAGATTGACACTTCTCCTTGCTCAGCCACATTGGATCATAGTTTGCACATAAATAGACATCCCAACCATAGGCGTGTGCACCCTAAAGCAACAACACACGCCGCATGTATGTATGTACATATACTGCTGTGTGTGTGTGTGTGCTGTGTGAGGGTGCTGTGTGTGTAAGGGTGCTGTGTGTGTGAGTGCAATTTGTGTGTGAGGGTGCTGGCAGTGTGCTGTGTGTGAGGGTGTTTGTATATGTGTGTTAGGGTACTGTTAGTGTACTGTGTGTGTGAGGGTGCTGTTTGTGT